AAGATTCCGATAAGTCTTCGAGTGGTTGAACAGTCTCTCGTTGTATCATGACAGTCAGTTTTCAGCTTTCTCTATTGAGGTGCTCATCCAGAATAACCAGGGAACAGTCGCAGTAGTTCTCCTTTGGCCGCCTTAGCCGATAAGAACGGAAAGTAAGGCGGCAAACCCAGGAGCCGGGCAAACCCAACATTTGACCAAAGACACGATTCAGAGCTGATGCATATAAGGCCAAACTCGTGACACCGAATACTCTCGACGGTATTCGGACTTTGTAACATAAAATGGGCTGAACCCTATATTTCCAGGTATGTGCATTAGTCTGTTGTGGTGAAATGCCAATAACAGCAGTACCCTCTGTGGGTATAGTACCCATGGGATGTGTAAACAACAAGAGACAATAAAAAAGGTTTACACAGGGGCTTAATCTAAAGAGAAACCTTTGAGCGGGGCCCTGCTGCACGTCTGCGCCTTTGTCTCTGTTGTGCCGTGTCCTGGAAGGGTATCACACGAATGGTGTCTGTAAAAAAGAAAAACTCATGTAGAAGAGTATAACGTAATCGTGCGATGGATAGTAAAAGTGTGAGACATTGGCCTGTTAATAAGGTCAAGCCAACAGTAGAGTTTTATTAAATATCCATAGCCCCTAGTATCCTCTATGGGATTACATACATGGTGCCCTAGCTCAGGTTTATCCGGGCTGCCGGACTCGTCTAACCGTGTCTGTGGTCTTAACGACCAGTCATGCTTTCTAGTATTAGAGGCCACTTAGAGTCCGGCTGATGGAGCCGTCGCGTATTCCTCCGCGCGTGAGGAGCGCTCTGTGTTTGCGTTAACGGTGATGATGCCACGTGGACTGGGCATCTTGAGTTTAAGGTAAGTGTAATGCGGTACTGCGTTGAAGCGGGCGAATGCCGTTCTCCCAAGCAATGCGTGATAGCCGCTTTGGAGGGGGGCAGTGGTGAAGAGTAGTTCTTTGCTTCTGGAGTTGCCGGGGGAACCGAATGATACCTCCAGTATGATGGAGCTCTTGCCGCAGGCTTCAACGCCTAGTATCACCCCTTCAAAGGTGGTGTTGCTTTGGCTGATTCTGGATGGGTCTATCCCCATCCTGTGGACAGTGTCCTGGTATATTAGATTAAGACTACTGCCGCCGTCCATGAGGATGTGAGTAAGATGGTATCCGTCGATTATTGGGTCGAGCACCAAGGCATCTGATCCTCCACGCCGAATACTAGTCGGACAGTCCATGTGATCGAAAGTGATCGGACAAGCCGACCAGTGGTTAAGTTTGGGTACGACGGGCTCTATAGCGTATGCGTCTCTAAGCGCACATTCGTGCCTTCTCATGGATGTGTGAGTCGCGTGGATCATGTTTATTGTTTTTACCTCTGGTGGGAATTTTTTCGGTCCCCCAGTGTTCGGCTGGCGAGGCTCATCCTCGTCTTCACTTGGTCTTTCCCTTCCCTTGTGTTCGTCATTTAATTTGCCGGCCTGCTTGAAGACCCAGCATTCTCTGTGAGTGTGGTTTGCAGGTTTGTCGGGGGTGCCATGGATTTGGCATAGTCTGTCCAGGACTTTGTTCAGGCCGGACGGTCCCTCTTTGCTGCCTTTGAATGGCTTCTTTTGTTGACCGGGTCGAGAGCCCCTGAATCCGGCGTTGACCGTTGTGTTGTCCGGACTTTCTTCCTTGTTTTGACGTTTTTTTTTATTGCGCCATGGCTTCCCATTGCCATCCCTAATTTCGGATGTACTTGGGTCGCTGGTGGCTTTACGGGCCAACCAGGTATCTTCACCTGCGCAAAAGCGGGTCATAAGGCTTGTTAAGGCTGCAATTGTCCTTGGCTTTTCTTGGCCGAGGTGTCTGGCGAGCCACTTGTCCCGGATGCTATGTTTGAAGGCCGCTAAGGCTTTGGCATCCGGACAATTGACAATTTGATTCTTCTTAGTGAGGAATCTGTTCCAAAGCTTGCGGGCAGACTCTCCGGGCTATTGAATTATGTGACTTAAATCGTCCGCATCCGGAGGCCGGACATAGGTCCCTTGAAAATTGGCCCCGAAAGCATCCTCGAGTTCCTCCCAACTTCCAATTGAATTTTCAGGGAGGCTTTTCACCCAGTGTTGAGCTGGTCCCTTCAACTTGAGGGGAGGGTATTTGATGGCGTGGAGGTTGTCCCCACGAGCCACGTGGATATACAGGATAAAATCCTTGATCCAGACCCCTGGGTCTGTCATTCCGTCGTATGCCTCTATGTTCACAGGTTTGAAACCCTGTGGAAATTCATGGTCCAGCGCCTCTTCGGTCAAGCACAGGGGGTGAGCAGCCCCTCTATATCTGGACGTGTTGTGGCATGCCGTCGGTTGTTGTTGTGTCCGGTGTTGATTCCGAACTGGTATCCGATCGGTATGATCGTTTTGGTGACCATAGTCCTGCATCGGGGTGTGTCCTTTAGATCCATAAATGGACCTAGCCGCGCCGACTATTTTATCGAGGAGCTCGCGTAAATCGTGTGTGGCGTCGGTAGCTGCTCTGTTGCGGTTATGAAGTGGTTTGTCCGGCCTCCTGGCCGTGTTGTTCTTCGGTGGAACGGCCTCATCATCGAATTCTGGCAGCAGCTTGTGTTTTGGATAGCTCTTTGTGTGGCGACTATCGCCGTACTTTTCTTTAGTGTCTAGTACTTTATTCCATCTGCGATTGAGCGTTTCCTGTGCGGCCTTGAGCCGTTGCTTCTGCTTCTTTAGACTTCTCGCAGTGGCCATAAGACTTCTGTGGAGGTTATCTCGTTCCAAGCATGTTTTCGGGATGATGAATACATCGTCATCCGGACTGTGCTCTTGTCCTGGGGCGGTTTGATGAGTTCGTCCCTCGGGATCATTGTGATTGGGCGTCTGCTCCGAGCTGTGTTCGGCGTGACCTGGCTCATCCTGCTCCTTTGCTGGGTCCATATGGTCGTTGTTGTCTTCGGAGTTGACTGGGGTGAAGATCTTTCTAGCGATGTTATCGCTATTTTTACTATTGCTGGACTTGGAGCGGCGTCTGCGCCGTCGTTTTGGCTTTTGCCCGGGGGTTTTGTCCTCCGGTTTATTGCCCTCGTCCTCCTTA